TACCCACGGCCATCCCCAGACTGCGGGCGCAGGGCAGCCAACAGCGCGGGGACCTCTGGTGTGGGGTCCTGTGACCAGTGTTCAGAGGCTCTCCTCGAGTCTGAGATCACGACCACATTTAGACAGCAGCCTGGGGCAATCCCCGCTTGTTTGGGGACTAGGACGTTGGGAGGGGCTCGGTCGGTGGAGCCCGCAAGCCCAGCACAATGAACCAAGAGCGTTACCGTGCATTCTCGGTTCGCTTTGTGAGTGAAAAGTTTTAAAAGCCGGGGTCTGGACCAGACCCCAGTACCCTGATTCTAATTTTAGCACTCAGCCTCCCAGACTCATTCTCCTTACCTCTTAATTTTCTGGTCTGGCAGCAGGAGTTCTAGGCAGGCAAATCTTCCCTCTCCTCCCATTATCTGTTTTTGTTTTTTCACGGAAGTGAATGTGGACACATTGGCATTCTCATTTGATGCTAACAGGAATACAAAATGGTGCAGCTGCTGTGAAAAATGTATGGCATCTCTCAAATGACCAGTGATCAAGTGTGTGTGTGTGTGTGTGTTGGCTGCCTGAATGTCTTTTTTGGTGAAGTGTCTGCACACATTCTCTTCCCACTGTTAAATTGGATTATTTATATTTTTATGTTGAGGTATTGACGTTTTCCATACATTTGAACGATTAGTCTTTTGTCCAATATGCCATCGCCTTTATCATTCCCTGTCTGTGGGTTCTCATTTTAGTACTTTGATGAGACCTTTTAAAGTACATAATTTTGAGAGGTCCCCATTATTTAGTATTCCTTCTATTGCTTGTGTGTTTTCATTATGTATGATATTACATTTATGTCATGTCTTAGGGTCCCAATATTGTTGCATATTTGGTCATTAAAGGTCATCATAATTTAATGATTTACATTAGGTCTTTGATCCATCTTGAGTTCATTTTTTTAAATAACAAATATTAATAGAAAATTAGGTAAGAGTTTACATTTCAGATCATCAGCTTTGTGTTAAACAGTTTAAACTATTAAGCAAACCCCTCAATAACTTATCTTTCACCCACTCCCCAATTTCTCTTCTCCCTCTTGTGGACTACTATCTTCCATTTCACCCAAGTTAACACCCATCAACAGTCTAGTCCATTGCTTTATCTTCTCTCCTTTGTACTCCCCCCCTTGAAAATCTCTAAAGTGTTCCCTTTGGCATGAAAGTCATTATCTTGTTTTGTGCCCGCCCCCACCCCCCCATAGCAAAGATCTCACATAATAGTTGATCTTTTCTTTCTTTTTTCCCCAACGGTTTTATTGACATTTAATTCACATATCTTACAATTCAATAGTTAATCACAGCAAGAAGAGTTGTACAATCATCACCACAATCGGTTTTAGAACATTTTCTTCATTAGTGTACTCATTGTTACTAGCTCCTAAATTCCCCCCTAACTTCCCACACCATACCTCCAAGGAACAATTAATCCAATGACTGTGTCTATAGATTTGCCTATCCTGGATTTCATATACAGAAAAACATTAAAAACAAAAAACTAACAAGAATAACAAAGTAAAACAGATAAAAACCTCAAAAAAAAGCATGCAGAAAATATTAAAAACAACAAAATGTTAATGGCTCATAAGGGAGCTCAAAGGACAACCTGCTAAATTTTAACCGAACTGCACCTGAAACAATCTGCTTTGCAATGCATTCCGAATGATAGCAAAGGTGCTTCTTCACAGCCCTGGTCCATGGACAAGAGGGGTTCACCAGGGCCTTGGTCCTCGTGTATTTCCCCTTCACTTTTTTTGAAAAATGGAAACAGCTTTAAAATGGGTCAAAAGGGAGATCAAATAAGAAGAAATTACATTTTAACCTAACTATGTCTGCCATAATCAACTTTACAATGCTTTCTGTCTGATAACAGGGCTAGTTACATTCCTCAATTATGATTGGAGGGGGTTCACTGGAGGTTCAATTTAAGTGTGGACCCCGAAAATAGATTTGGGGCTTCCACCTTCATTCATAGCCTTCTGCAAACCAGGTGTTTACAATTGAAGCTCTTACGGCATTTCTGCCTTTAGATTTAGATTATATTATTTGCAACCCTTGCATCACACAGGCGGGTGTGTGCTTTTTCCATGTGGATGCACTTGATGCATCGCTTAGATGGCTACTTGTTAGAAAACAAGAAATTTTTCCCCTTTTTTT